TACGTTCATATTAACAATAGTTAAAAAGAAAATTCGTGGAACCGAGGTTTTGACTTTATTAGTATACTATAACAGACGACAAATAAAATTTTTGAATTGATCGCCAATGCCTGTATGTAGCACAATTAGAAGATCAATATTTCTGGTAACAATGAAAAAAAATAATAATTGAAAAAAAACTATAATATAATAATACTCTTAACTATACCATTCGTTGTCAATTTCGGGTTAACAAATTTAGGCACATTTTATTATATAGTATAATGAATTTTGAGATTATTATTAAATAAATAAGGTGAAAATGTAATGTTACCAAGTGACTGGAGTCCAAAATCCTTCTCTGATAATGCGTTACTATTAATTCAGAAACGTGATCAACACCACAATTACCACTTTTGTAGCACAACTTGTTCTGTTATTCCGGTTTCTTAAAAACCCTTTTCTGAAAGAAAAAAGTGTCATTTTTGTCATTATTACCAAGAAGGCAATGATTACAACAATAACCAAAAGATTTATATCTAATATCGTTAGATTTATTTTGAAACACAAAAGCAGAACAGTATTTCCTGATCTGATCAATTTTGAGCCACTGGGAGTCTTTTGACTACAGCATGCATCAGTGACGTTCTAAACTTTGACAATAAAGCAATATGCATTTTTCAATTTATATAATAATTAATTTCAATTGGTTGTTATTATTTTATTCACTAAAAAACATTCATTATGATGACCTAACTAAAAAAAATATATTTCTAGAGTAATATTTATAAATAACAATCGAGCATTTTTTTATCGTTAAATTTGCATTCAATAAAAATCCATTAATTTTATTTTTATCATATGCATGATCTTACCTATATTTTTTCGCGATAATATGAATAATTCAACATCAATCATTTTAATAATCGTCTCTTTATTTGTGATATTATTCCGAGCCGTTGTTGATGCAGGTAATTTTTTTTGTATTTATATTATTTATAGTAAATTATTTTCTGTTAAAATAGATAATATAATTTTATCAATAATAGGAGGATTATGTTGCTATTCAACATCAGCTGAATTAAAACAAGCACCCAATTTATATTTGTTAAATATTACGGCATCTCATGTAAATTCAAAAAAATACAATAATAAATATATAGCTAAATTTGGACTTCCTCAAGGATATTTAGCACAAGGAGATCCATCATCTCCTATTTCATATGTTCATTGTTTAAGAAATTCCAACGCAGGGCCTGTTTATGAATGTGAATCAAGAGATAATGAATTTTTTTTTGTGCAACTCTTAGTACAATTTCCAAAAGTTTCACCACAAACATCACAACCAAACCTATTAGAATCAGAGACTGACATTCCAGACCCAATAAATCAAAATCAAACAATTACTCAAAATATTGAAAATGACAATGGTACCAATCAGGTGGAATTGCCTGTTGTAAACGTCTATATATTTGGTGATAAATGTGAACAAAGGACTGTTTGTGGAGATTTGGCTTCATCAAGTGAAAATCAGGATTCTGATAAAATTTCACTGGGTCCATTTGGTACTTGGCCAAAATATGCTATCATAATAGGTGGTTGTATTTTAGGTTTGGGATTAGTAGGTGCTCTTTACTTGGTCTATAGAAGAAACGTTGGTGAAGGCGGTGGCTTTTACAAAAAAAACGAGAAAAAAGATTCAGTATCTTCTCCTAATTTATTTTTAGATTCTGGTAATAATCATGATGATGATGATAATAGACCAAAAAATGCTTTTATAGATATAGATATAGATATAGATGATGATGATGATGATGATGATGATGATGATGATGATGATGATGATGATGATGATGATGATGATGATGATGATATCAATAGTAGTAATACCAAGAATTACAGTAATCGTAGTAGTGGTATTAATAGAAATGACAGATCAAACAGACTTTCAAAACATAATAAACTTAATCGAGAATCCAAAATCAAACAATTAGAGTCATATATAAATGAAGATGAAGTTGTCAGGAACACAAAAGCTGTGCTACCAAGATCAAGTTTAGAATTTGATAATAAAGACATCTACATTCATGAATTTGTACCAGCGTCTTCTTCTGTTGTCATCGAGGTTGATAAAGATTCATCGTTGTCATCCAGCAACAACAACAGCCATCACAATCACAATAATCGTCATAGTAGTCATAGTAATAGATTCTCTAAAAGACATTCTAACAAACTATCAACAGATGATAATCAGAACCTTAATCCTGAAGTTTCATTCTCAATACCGACCAGGTCACGAGATACAAGGGGGAATAGGAGTGGGAGTGATCACCACGATGGAAGAGGTTCATTGAGTGCTTCCAGTTCCAATTCACAATCTAAAAGAGAACCATTTTCAGAAAGTCGGACCACTGAACAATCAATATCAGGAAGACAACATCGTCATTCATCATCACCTAAAAATAATGATGATGATGATGATGATCCCGAACTACACCATAAATTTTCTACAAGGACTCCATCACGCCGTGACAAGAAATCTACTTCCAATTCGGATTTTGTTAGTAAAAATAATAATAGTAATAATAGTAATAATAAAGAAAGATCAAAATCACATCGGGAAAAAAATAAAGTTAAGATTGATGGCAGGAAAATAGATTCTGATTCAGAAGGGTCATCATCATCATTTGATGTACCATTAGGTGATAAAATACCATTAGCAATTTTGGATATAAGATCACTATCTAAAAAATCACTATCAAATCAATCTGCTAGATCACAATCAAAAAATGGTAAAAATGTGGCAGTGGAAGAAGAAGACAAACCATTAGGACAAACAATATCTTCTTCAAAGGAAAAAAATCTAGATGGTGAGGATAGTATTGTTGGTGATTTTCTTGGTTCAGTGCTTAGTGAAGCTTTAGCAGGTTATTCGGATTCGGGAAGGGTCAGTAGTAATGATATTAATATTGGTGGTGATGAAGAAGAGGACAAAGGAAAAACAACAAAAGAGCAAATTATAGAAAGTGATGATGAAATGCCTATTGGAAAATTAAGGAATAAAATATAATCTATAATCTATTTAATTTATTTAATTATTTTGTAATAAATTTATTTATCTTTAATTAAAAAACTTTAAATCAATCATGCTGTAATGTACAGCTCAAAATCAAATAATTACTGCTACTACTGTTGCTACGGAACCAATAAATGTTAAAGAGTAAATTGTAATAATAACGAACGAAGTAAGAGGACACAAACCTGTGAAAACCAAACTTTCGCCATGGAGATATTTACGATGAAAAGATATCAAGATAAATTTTTTTCTGCGAACGATTCCTTCAAAATGTTTGTTTGTTACATATTAAAAAGAAATTCTTTGGCGACCCCCATTTTTTATTGTGTGAACGAGCATAATGGAAGTTTGTTGTTACACGAAGTGTCATACAGAACTCATTGCTCCTGAAACTTTACCAGTATATAGTTGTTACCTCTCTAAATTGGAGATCAAGTTCAGATCCAATTCAAATCCAGTTTATCACTTACTTTTTATTGCCAGAATGTTTGCCGTGTATTATAAAGCTACGTTGCACAATATAAAAAATTAGTGTGACATTTCAAATTTCCACTATGCGAATAATAATCAATTATATATCAGTATAGAATTAAAATGGATACGGATATCAAAAATTTTAAAACAAGGTCTATCTCCGTATTTTAATGAAATAATTGGGTAAAAAAATATGAATACAGTATTTTTCTATTTGAAAAAGAAAATATCTTCAAATTTTTTTTATTGAATGTAAATTTAAAAGATAATATATCAAATACAATGATTTTAGGCTTTTATTTTTATTATTAAAAGATAGATTTATGTGGGCCTGTTAAAATAGGTAAACTGGGTTCAGATGAAATTCTTGAATTACATTTTACAAAATCATTCATTTAATCATTAAAGAAAATGAATGGATGGATTCAACAAAACAAAATTTAATTCACATTTATGAAATTTCATCAAAACATCCAAAGTATTGGCCACACAATTATAGAAAAGTCAATGCTAATCTGAAAATAATCGAAGTCGAAATTTGGGGTTACATCATTAAGTGTGGTATCGGACAAATGGATGAAAAAAATGGAATGAATGCAAAAAAATTGAAAACTTGTTAAAAGAAATAATCCCACTGTTAAAATTCAATTAAATTTCAACAGATGATTTAATGAAAAGATTAGACATTGTGAAAAAGTTCTTAATAAACAAGTATACCAAGAATCCCTTCGCGTTATTATCAACAAATGACTGGCAACTTCTTTAAAATATCCAAGGTCAGAAAATGGAAAATTACCAAGTTCAGAAATGAAAGCTTTTAATTTCTGGTTAAGTTAAACACATTTTCCGAGACTTAAGGTGATAATAGATGTTATAACACTGAAAAGGCTATAATTATCATGAAAATTAAAGAAACTGGAAAATTGGTTGGATACAGGATATTTGATTGAAGTACTTGAAAATTTGGTTTTTTCAAGATTGATCAAAATCAATTAAGTGATTTAATAACTGAAGATTATCAACATCCATTATATCATTCTAGACAAACTGTTTATATGATTCAGATAATATGAAATCAACAATATGTGATGGTATTAATGGTAAATCTTGTTGTTTATAATCAAAAGAACCTTGATTTCATTTGCTTACAAAAATAGTTTAAATCAGAAATCATACTAGAAATGTTCATTTGTTAGAAAAACATGAAGTTTATAAGTTGAAAAGGAAAAATTTATGATTGAGGCAATTTTTAAATATTTATGTATAATTTATATACTATATATATTAATATATATATTATGATTTTATACACTAAAGTTGAGATATAGTTGAGCAGAAATAAATAAATAATTTTTTTAACCCCACCTCCTACATCTACAGAATGCTTGTTTATTTTTATAAATAAATATACAGTGTATATACATCTTAAATCCCTCTTTTGAGATAAATTTAAAATATATTTTTGATCCAGTTAAGAAGGTATAACATTAAAAAAATGAAAAACTTCTTCTACATCCATAACAGCAACTTTGGTTCCACAATTCAAACATTCAACAGGGTAATAGATCTCTTCTATTGTACTATTATTATTAGTCGTAGTACTACTATTATTACTATTATTTAATTCTGATGTTTGTGTTGATTTATCAACTTTTTCATCATCTATTGCTTTGTTCTGTTTGTTTATTTTTTTCTTGGATTTTTTACTTTCCGTGTCTTCTTTATAAACCAGTTTCTCTAAATAATTGACTTTACAATTTTCCACAAATATTGCTCGGTATTGATTTGAATATAATTCATGTCTATAAAATATATAAAATCATATAACTATAAATATGTATATTAAATAATTTGGCAAAAAAAAAACAAAAATGATTAATTTGTACTTTTGTGTTTGATAACTTAGTATGGTAAAACACATTGGGCATGACAATATTGCATCAGTTTCATTTGTAGGTGTAGTAGAAGTTTTTTGATCTGAAGATGTTTTGTTATGTTCTATATTATCAATAATTAATATAAAT